TGCCTGATCCTCTGATGGCTGCCGCGGTAACGATATGAAATCTAATTATTCGTCCCAATATTTCTAAACCCTCCAACTCAGCCTGACAGTCGCAGCCGGTTGAGGCCTTATCGCCGCCAGGAGCCAAGTGCCGGCAGCGTGATAAACCCCACGCACATGCGCTTGCACACGCGTGCGAACGCCCGGGGGGGGAACAACCCTCCAACTCAGCCTGACAGTCGCAGCCGGTTGAGGCCTTATCGCCGCCAGGAGCCAAGTGCCGGCAGCGTGATAAACCCCACGCACATGCGCTTGCACACGCGTGTGCACGCCCCGTGGGTGCACAGACAGCGCCCGCACGCTGCTGTTGCTGCGGGAGCCCGCCTGCCCCTGCGGAGAGCAGGTTGGAAATGGGGCTGGGGGCTTAGGGACACCCCTGCATAGGACGTGCTGGTGGCACATGGGCTGAGCTCCCTCGGGGACCGCAGTGGCCCCCTCCATGTCCCGTGCCGGGGCTGGGAGGGAGAGGAGGGTCTCTGCGGAGCTTTTGCAGATTTGCTCCGTTCATGGGGGGACCTGTGGGTGCCCCCTGACGGAAGGAGGCCCTTGCGGTGCCCAGGAGCCCTGCAGCACCCCAGGGTGCTCCCAGCACCCCAAGGGCTCTCCCAGCACCCCAGGGCGCCCGCCCTGGCTCCCCTCAGCGGCCCCAGCCCCCATGGTGAGCCCTTCCTTGTTCTCCCTGGAACAAAGAGGTCAGTGTCTCCGCTCTGCACCGGCCTGATAACCATCGGAAACCCTATCTGCTCCGCATCCGCCAGGACAGTGTTATCGGGGGTGGCCCTGTGCCCTCGCTGTCCCCCCCCGCCCCCCCGTGGGCACCACCCCGGGGCCGGGCAGCTGGGGGAGACATGGGGCAGGGATGGAGTGGGGGGACAGCCACAGGGCGAGCCAGCACGTGGGGCTCCCCGGTCCCTTGGCACCCCTGGGCTGGTGCTGCCGGAGGGTCTGCACACCCTCCCGAGCAAGGCTGTTTTGGGGGAGCCCCATGGGACCAGCTGGGGGGGGGCAGGCAGGCATCTTCCTCCTCCTCCTTCTTCTCCTTCTCCTCCATCAGTGCAGTGATGGGCACGCGCGATGCTCCATGCCACAGAGGCATTAAATCCTCCCAGTGTTCTCATTTCCCACTAAAACCCCAGGATGGGATAATGTCCCATGTGAAGACGAAGAGCAGAGCTGGGCAGGATTTGGGGGAGACCCCCTGCACGCCTCCGCCCTCCCCCCCCACCATTTAGACAATAAATGAAGTATCAGAAAAAAGCTGCGCATATCTTTAAGAAATCAATCATCCTGTACCGGGTGTCTGGACACACGGCGCCAACCGGGAGATAGGGAGCCAAACTGGGCAGATAAGGGTTAATCAAGGATTTAATTCGGCAAAGATAAACGGGTCTGAGCTAAAAAAAAAAAAAAAAAGAAAAAAAAAAAAAAAAAAAAGAAAAAAAAAGAAAAAAAAAAGAAAAAAGAGCGAGGGAGGGAGGAGGAGGAGGAGGTGGGGATGGAGCCCGGGCGAGATTCTCCGGCCTCAAAGACCCTGGCCTGGAGCTGCCTGCGTGCGGCTCCAGGGGGGATGCAGGGGGAAGGATGCGCCTGGAATGCGAGGCTCCAGCGCCTACAGCACCCCCATGTGCACACGCACCCCCCCTCCATGTGCACACCCATGCACACGTACGCACCGATGCTCACCCCGGCGCATCGTGCGGCCGATGGCGTGCTCCTGCCACTGAGAGCCACCAGCTCCGCAGTGCCCCGTGCTGCCTCCTCTCCCACCCCTTCACCACGGGCTGCGGAGCCCTGGCGCTTTCCAGGCACAACCGGAGTCCCCTGGGAGCAAATTTGGGGTGGGAAACCCAGATCCCATCTCCTCTGCGAGGACACACGTGCCACCGAGCAGCCTGCTTGCCCGCAGCCACGTGCAGGAGGGGACAGGAGGGGATGGCCAGCATCCTGTCCCCACTGCGATGCTCCGATCTTGGGGCAGTGGGCAGCGTATGGCAGGGAGACCTCCTGGGCACCCAAACTGGGCGATTCCTGGGGGGTCAGGAGCTCAGGCAGGGAAAATCCCTCCCAAACCGACTCCTCTCCCCAAACAACTCGTTTCCTTGGGACTTTCCTCGCCAGTGTCCCCAGCAGCCCGTGGCAGCACTGCTCCTTACCATCTCGCCGTGCCCTGGCGATGCCGGCTCGCTGTGGATGCTGCCCTGGAAGGGTCCCCAGGAGAAGCCCTCGGGGAGGCTCCTGCGGGTTCGCACCCGCCTCTCCCCCTCCTG